ACAAGTTATTAAGAACAAGAGGCCTAGCATTCATGACATTGATGATAATAAGCCAGCACAAATACTATCAAAACTGTCATCCTTAACTAATAATTGTTACAAGGTTACTCCAAGTAAGAAATAAATGTTAGCACCAAGATCAAACCATTGTTTGATCTTGGTGCACACCATTGTTTGATCTTGACACCCACCATTGTTTGATCTTGACACCCACCATTGTTTGATCTTGACACCCACCATTGTTTGATTTTTATTTGCTCTTGGAAAGTTTTATCTTTCCCCTTCTCTTCTCTGTTTTTGTTCTTAATGACATTTGAACATTTTTTTGCAAAAATAGCAATGATAATCTTCATCTGACAAATCCAAAATGGCTTCCTAAAAGCCATTTTGTTTCTTCTGATCAGTTCCAAAATCAAACAAGCACAAGGAGAAACCAAAGGGAACATACGTATGAAATTTGAGAGACATCCATTCAGTACTTCTTAAGAAATAGCAATAACAATCTTTACTAGGCAAAATCCAGGTGTTGAGAAAAAGATTTTTGAAGTTTGAGTAAATTTGACCCATTTTGCCCAGCCACTCAGGTCCCTGTAAGGTGGGGACATTTTAAATCACTCTTTTGGTTCATTTGAAGCAAGGGAAGGTTTCTCCAAAATTTAATTGAAATCAGTCTCAAGGGTTTTGAGAAGAAGTCCAAAATGTTAAATTGTTTACAAACACATGACAAAGGTGATTGCAATAGGTCACCAGGACACGTAAAAATGATACAAACTGGTTTTATGCATAATATTGTTTTTTTTTCTTTTTCTTCCCTTTTTCCTCTAGTTTTTCATCATTATTTGAGATACCCATTTTTTTCTAAATTGGTTCTGATAAGGACTGTAATTACAACAATGGCAGACTTCGTGATGACAAGACAACAGTACTATACATGATGTGTCATCAATTCTCTTCTCATAGATATCGATTTTTGAATTCAAAAGTAAAGCTTAAGAAGTAATTTAAGCTGATGAAAAGCAAAACACTGTGTAAGATGTATCATTAGAATGAATTATTTCAATAAAAATTGCACATAATTGCTTAGAATTGCAAACACAGCAGAAAAAGATGGTGCTGGTATCGTATAGACTTGGGAGGTAGTTTAACTAGACTGGTAATGATGGCTATGGGGTTGCAAACTTTCAGGCCTTTAAACCATACTAATTAATGTGACAAAAATGATCAAAACAATGTGAGGCAGCTGTGCATATTGTGTTGACTTAAGTAACGACAGAAGACCCAGAACAGTACTAATTGCAAAAGAAAAAACTTTAAAAAACAGTATCATTTATGGAGAACAAAAAACATAAAAGATTTGAAATATTCATAACAAGAGGTCTAGCGACCTTGACGGCCACCTGAGATAAGCAATATAGAATACAAAGGTTAAAGGAAAGTATCTTCCAAGTGTCATGAAAAAGAAACTGTGACATTGATGTTAGTAAGCCAGTGTCTATACTAATAATTGTTACAAACTTCCAATGGGAAATAAACATTATGCTCAAAAACGCAATTTTTCTATAAAGTAAACCTCCTCTCCAGGAAGAGATGTGAGAGTCATTTTTGTAAATAAAGCACCTACAACACTTCCATCCTATGTGTTGAGAAGAATATTTTTGAAATTTAAGTCAATTTTAACCATTTTAGCCCAGTCTAACAGACCCTGGGGTCATTCAGGTTCAATCTATTCATACAATCCTGCCATCACCTTCATCTGAATTCTAATCAAATTTGAAATATTTCCAATCAAAATTCAACAAATTATACTCAAAATCCGATTTTTCCAATTAAAACTACAGTAAATTTTACCCCTTCCCTACGGGTAAATGCGAGACCCTGGGGCCACGATATTCACGACTTTTATTAACCATTTTATGTTGATTCCATTCATTAAGATCATTTGATTCTATCATTTCTGTGTGTTGAGAAGATTTTTGAAATTTGAGTAAATTTGACCCTTTTGGCCCTGCCACTCAGGCCCCCATGGGATGGCGACCATATAATTCACTACTTTATTTTGTCTTATGCCAGGGAAGGTATCTGCCAAATTTTATTGAAATCAGTTCAGGCATCGAAATGTAAAATTGATAAAGGATGCACGATGCTGGATGAAGGTGATCACAATAGGTCACCAGGACTTTGTCTCAGGTGACCTAAAGTAAGAAGAAACTGTACAAGTTCCAAACAGCTAAATATGGAAAGAGCACTTTGTGAAAGTAATCCTGGAACATAATGAAGATGATGATTTTCAAAAAAGATAGTTACAAGAAATTATTATTTGAGAAACAACGGAGGTTTAAAGATTGCTTTTTGTGGAGGAAGATAATTCAAACAAATTGAAATGTTCTTTGTGTTTGAAGAATTCCATATACTGACAATTTGGTAGGTGATTCTTTACGACAGGAATTAAAATCTAAACCTGAACATTACAGTATACATTTCAAGCTCTGATGTGATGACAATATCCTACAATTCTTCTTTATTGTGATTCTTCAGAAAGCTAATCTGCTTATAAGAAAAGGATTGAACTCCCTCAGGTAGACACCAGCTTCATACTACGAATTACATCAATACATGATGACAGCAGTTTGTTCCTACTGTAGTATTTCATCTGACAGGTGAATCCTCCTCAATAACAAAAATATTTACTACATGATTGCACTGTTACATGCGGAGCACTTGTTTCAGACAGTGCTCCAGCCAGAGAGTACATCCTGGACACTACAATGTCTGGACAATATCCTCTGGACACCAATGATACAAACAGCACAAAATAAAATACACAACACTTGGACACCAACAGCAATTGAACTTTGTAGCCTGGATATAGTACCAATGGTACAAACAGCCGAACATTACACCTTGCACACCAGTAGACAAGCTGGATAGTACACCCTGGAACAAATGGACAACAGCTAGACTACACCCTGGAACCAATAGACAACAGTCAGACTACACCCTGGAACCAATGGACAACAGTCCGACAACACCATGGAACCAATGGACAACAGCTAGACTACACCCTGGAACCAATGGACAACAGTCAGACTACACCCTGGAACCAATGGACAACAGTCAGACTACACCCTAGAACCAATGGACAACAGTCAGACTACACCCTGGAACCAATGGACAACAGTCAGACTACACCCTGGAAACAATGGACAACAGCTAGACTACACCCTGGAACCAATGGACAACAGTCCGACAACACCCTGGAAACAATGGACAACAGCTAGACTACACCCTGGAACCAATGGACAACAGTCAGACTACACCCTGGAACCAATGGACAACAGTCAGACTTACCTCTGGAACCAATGGACAACAGTCAGACTACACCCTAGAACCAATGGACAAAAGTCAGACTACACCCTAGAACCAATGGACAACAGCCAGACTACACCCTAGAACCAATAGACAACAGTCAGACTACACCCTAGAACCAATAGACAACAGTCAGACTACATCCTAGAACCAATGGACAACAACCTGACTTCACACCCTGAATATCAGGGAGCAATGCATGGACAGTAACATCATGGAAAACCTGTGGACAACAGCCTTGGCAGTAAAACCTGTATACCAGCAGACGTGACTAAAGTACAAGCTGGACTCCAGCTGACATCAGGAAAACAGTAACCTCAGACACAGATGGACAACACCATCATCTATCTTGTCCTAAATATTCACATCCAACAGTGGAGAAATTGTAATCTTTTTAATTATCTATCCTGGTAACACAGACTTATTGATATTCACACTGTAATATGTGCCACTTTCATAAAACATTTCCTACTCATAAAAGATGACAGCTGTAGGCAGGGCAACTTGATAGACACACAGACAAAATTTACTGAAAATGTAGACTTTTTTACCATTACAAAAAGACATTTTTCCTGTTTATAGTCGCTTCATGTGGTTTCGCAAATGAACAGCCATCAATTGCGGTTGAATGCTGCTAATTTGAAATAGAAATTGTGACAGATTGAATATGAATGTGTGTTTACTTCCAAATGAACAGGTCCTTACGGCCACCGTGACAGATTACCATATAGTAACAATAGTCTTTAGCCACACCATCCGTTACCCATCTATGATGGAGTGAAGCCAATTCTCCTGTCCAAGCTAATCGACATACTGGTCAAAGGTCTGCCCATCAAGCTCTGCACACATTTTACTAAGTAAGATATAAAGCAATCCTGACCACATATTCCAGTCTTAAAGAAGCAGCTTCGGAAAAAAATATACTGAACATATTTCTAAGTTACTGCCTTAAATTACTTTATTTAATCCACTTCAATATCTTGTCCAGTCTGTGAGGCTTCATAACTTACTTTTACTATCTAGGTCACAATGTCCTAATTCATCCCTCCAATTCTTTTTATAGGTCAACATTACCTCATATATATATAGATAACATTACCTTATGTATATAGATAACATTACCTTATATATATATATCAACATTACCTTATATATATAGATAACATTACCTTATATATATAGATAACATTACCTTATATATATATAGATAACATTACCTTATATATATATAGATAACATTACCTTATATATATAGATAGATCAACATTACCTTATATATACTTATGCTGACATATCTATATATCACATCAAAGTCATCTAATGTACTTTTGTAATCATAGCGATCTAATTTATTTGTGTTAATTGTTTGATTAGTGACCTAATTTATTTGTGTTAATTGTTTGATTAGTGACCTAATTTATTTGTGTTAATTGTTTGTTTGATCACAGTGACCTTATTCTTATGGCCAGGGTTTATGTTATCCATCAGACTAAGCTACAAATTCCTTGATAACTAGTGTTTGAATTTTATCTTAGTAAAGGTCACACTCACTGCAACTGTCATTTCTATTTCAAATTTTTTTCCCCTCAATCTAGATCCAAATGACAATATTTATCCTGTGTTGACCTACTTACCCTGGTTGTCTTGGATGTGTCCTTCTGTATCTTGTCTGGAAACACATGGCTGATGTTTGGACAAGTCTGACCGCTATACTCAAGCCAGTGAAGGTCATGGTCATGGTTCTTGCATTCAGACACAACACTACACCTGTAACACATCAAACAATACAATCTGAAACTTTTCTTACATGGTATCAATATACAATAGTGATTGGATCAGTGTGGGATTCTGAGGTGTGTAGGGTTTACAACTGCAGTTAGGATATGGTCAGAGTTGTAACTTGGTGTGGAATTCTTCATCATTGTTGATCAGTGTCCAGTATCTGTCAAAGGTTGACACCATCATCATGTCAAGGGTATGAACGTTTCTGCCTAGACACCTGTTACTTCCTAATTGGTTATGTCATACAGTCGAGATGGTCTCAGGTGTGTCTTTTACCCACAGCAATATCCATTTATTTAATTGGCAACACTGCCTGGGAACCATTCAATCATGTAGCAATTATTTACCTGTACCATCACCTGGTAACAAGGTCTCTCTACTATCACCTGGTTACAAGGTCTCTCTACTATGACCTGGTAACAAGGTTTCTCTACTATGACCTGGTAACAAGGTTTCTCTACTATGACCTGGTAACAAGGTCTCTCTACTTTCACCTGGTAACAAGGTCTCTCTACTTTCACCTGGTTACAAGGTCTCTCTACTATGACCTGGTAACAAGGTCTCTCTACTTTCACCTGGTTACAAGGTCTCTCTACTTTCACCTGGTAACAAGGTCTCTCTACTATTCTATTTTTATATCAGTAATGTAAAATATAAATGACATGCATTTCCTTGACCTAAAGGGTAAAAAACATTTGTCAATGTCCACTGAAGGCCAAAAAGCATCAAAGCCTATTAATGACTTGGTGTGCTCAGAGAAACATTTCCATGACCTGGAATGAGCCACGTCAATCTTTTCTGAAATCCATTACACCAGCAAGCATTTCATCGGTCACTGTAAATTTACCAATATGGAGATCTGGTTTGTACTTCCAGACAACAAAAACCTCTTTTATAGACACCAGCACATGTACATTATTTCCAGTAAGTAGAAAAGAAAATGATAACCCTAGTAAAGCAGTGACAACGTATTTGAATCTGTCATCACTACAGCAACGCCACCGTCAACATACTTTCAACCCTACAGACAGATAAAGACTTCAAACCTGCAATTTTAACAATAGAAGATTTGGCGGATTTGTGCTGTGTGCCATAGCACTGGAGGTCTTGTCTCTCGAGCTTTTTCCAGAGTAAATTACAGTGTTTTTTATGATGGCGACTTATGCCGAGACCAAAATGATTGCCATTGAGAGACCTGATCCATTTCCACCATTCCGGAAAATAATCAACAAATATAGACTTTTCCTGCATCTCTCTGAATACGGAAAACCCATAAAACAGGATTACATCAATAACTGATGTTTTCTGGTCAATCGGTACACATGCAACATAGCATCAGAATCTGATTTTTGCTTCTAATTTTATTATGCTGTTCCTAGAATTCGAAAATTTCATTGCCTGTATACAGAAAGAGGGTTACCTGTCTACAAAGATCTAAAAGTAAAGGTTGTTTGTCTGTAAAGATCTAAAATAAAAGTAAAGGTTGTTTGCCTGTAAAGTTCTAAAAGAATATCATTAACTATAAAGGTCTCCAAAAAAAATAACTGTCTACAAAGACCATAGAATAAAGATTACCTGTCTACAAAGACCAAAGAATAAAGAGTACCTGTCTACAAATGTCTTGGAAAATTACCTCTATAAACTCCTCTACATGTAGATAAAACATGTCAATTCAGTTCTGACGAAGAACTCTACAAAGTGTGGGCTGTTCATTTCAATCTTACAAAGATATTTCATTTCATATTTTTCTTTAAATTTCAAATTGCTTTCTGTTAAACAAGGAAATCTACTATCATTTTTCAATAGAGTTTAGCTATCTATATTCAGTGCTCTGTCAGGGTAACTGCTACTGGAAACGCTTATATAACCATCCATTCTCTATACTTATATCAACTCTAGTGCCAGGAATATTAATATGTTTTCATTTCTTTGTAATTCTGATAACACCTGTTTTCCCAGGAGACTCTGCAGGAAATGTACATTTCATTTGTTAAGTCATAAGTCTTCAGTTTCCTGGAAGACCAAATACCATAGAGAATATCAATGTGGATACATAGGAAAATTATTCATATTTCTGAAACTGAATTTTCTTATTTTTCTTTTCTCTTTCTAAATATCTGAAAGTGGTTTTCCCTCAAGCCTTATCAATCAAATACTACCCAAACCAGAGTATTGCATGTATTGTGTATTATAGATTACTTTACAATAAAGACGAGAAGTCTTGGTAATCGCCTGCAGAGAAGGTTCCATCTCCTGCCTTCCAGCCATAACTTAGTAGCAACAGATCTCTTCCTAAATTCTCTGATGACAGATAGAAACAGGTATCTTCTTCACATTCCCACAAAATTTAATTTGAGAATTTGGAAGCTGTCCATATTTTGGGTCCCATAGGAAATGTTCACTGCTAACTCCACTTTGTTGTTATTTGCATGCCAACAAGGCACCAACATAGAGACGAGATAGAGACAAGGGGCATAAGTTACGTCAGTCTAAGACAGCCTCTTTTGTATAAAAAGTGTCCTGTGTCTTTATTTCATACTACACTTAAAGTTAAACACTTTATCTCCATGAACCTCACTTTAAAACTATAACTCTCTGTCAAGTATGAGGCAAAATTCCTAACACATAAAAAAAACCTATCCACTCTACGCAATAACAGATTTCATTAATTCAGAAAAACAATACATATAATTATAGTTAAAATAAGAATCTTGTAAAATCAACATCAATTTCATTAATGTGATATCATATATTTTCATGGGATTCAAATTCTATTTGTTTTTATTTTTCATTATCTTTTTCAATTTCTTTTTTCTTTTTTTTTAGTATTATTTTGTAGACACTTGATTTTGTAGCTTAACAAATCAATACGACCATATATGGACATATCAAACCATGCATTAAAAGCATCCATGAGATCCAAAAAGCTGAACAATTATCTCATTTTCACTTTCATTCTCACATAGAATATGACAAAACTAATGCCATACAGATTTGTGTCTACTTTACATCAATATAGGATTACATGATGGCTATCCAATAGAGATTTCTGCCTACCCTATAACAGTGAACCTTTACGCCTACCCTATAACAGTGAACCTTTACGCCTACCCTATAACAGTGAACGTTTACGCCTACCCTATAACAGTGAACCTTTACGCCTACCCTATAACAGTGAATCTTTAGGCCTACCCTATAACAGTGAACGTTTACGCCTACCCTATAACAGTGAACGTTTACGCCTACCCTATAACAGTGAACCTTTACGCCTACCCTATAACAGTGAATCTTTAGGCCTACCCTATAACAGTGAACCTTTACGCCTACCCTATAACAGTGAACGTTTACGCCTACCCTATAACAGTGAATCTTTAGGCCTACCCTATAACAGTGAATCTTTACGCCTATCTACATCAATATAGGATTACATGATGCCTATCCAATAGAGGTTTCTGCCTACCTACAAAAGCATCATATGAATATAAGACAATGTAGTTTGATCAATCTATCATCATTAGAAGTGAGTAGATGAGGAGGAGACAGGCCATCACAAGGCTCAGATCTCACAGAGTCAGGGGACTGTCACTTTATAGACAAGTTATGAATATGGATGTGGATCAGCATCAGATAAGGTTCCCAAATGGTGGGACCAAACCCAATCCTTCAGGGACAAGTTCTTGTCCAACAGTGTCATCCTGACACTGCTGATTGTGGATAAGGTTTAAAAGCGCACTTGTATGGAAGGCTTCTAATTATTAACATACAACTATATGTACTTACAAATCGGACATTTCCTTGTAGGTTTTGTTAATACTGATCAGTATAAAATTTAAAAGAACAGTTCTGTTGGAATGAAGTGCAGCATATGTGCCATGAGATTGGGAGTGAATTCTAAGTCTGTCATCTATAACCGTGTAACTAAGAGATAAAGAGTAGGATCTCTGGAATCTTCAGGATTTATAACACAGACAGTCCACAAATCAGCCAATCCTAACTTCAACAGTTGACAAATTTTGTTTTTTTTGTTTGTTTGTTTTTTGTTTTGAATTGATATTAAAAATCCCTGATTAACCCTAAATTTTACCAGTTTCTCCTGTCATTACCAATTTGATGAAACATTCACAGAAAATTTTGTGCAGAAGTTTTTAACATTCATCAGTGAAATGGTTTTGTTAGTGTGATGCATACTGACTAATGTTGAAATGTTCCTGTAGGAGGTTACAGCGATCTTATCTGTGTACACTAACTGTCCCACTCATACCATGTGTACTCGCATCAAATCGCAGGCTACATCACAATTTCATTTCCATAAATTCTGTTTCCCACTAAAGAGACTGTTGTTATCACTAATATTAAATGAGAAATAGATTTGAAAAGGCACGAAACATGTTTTGATACAGAAGCTTTTTATCATTTTTACCCACTTACATCTTCATTTCCGTTTAAACCGTTTCATCTTTTTTTGCATATTATACAAAAGCATACACAAGACATAGATTTTTATATCAAAATATGAATATTTAATAGATAAAGACAACCTAACAACTAAGAGACAATGATTGGAGGATAAACTTGTGTCAGATCCAGCTTTCATTCCAACACAAAGAAACTTCTAATTAAAATGAAAATGTTTCTATATTTCATCACAAGACTTGTCAAACTGATAAGGAAATGGCTGTCATCACCAGACAAGAGGCTTTCTACATAAATATTTATTTTATATGTTTTCCTGCAAGTTATATCGAATATACTATGAATGTAACATTAGTAACTATAAAGGAATGCTATTGTAGTCTTGATGAGCTAAATAGTATTTTTATCCAGCATCATAGTTCCTCTATTTTCCCCCTTATCACATATGTCATGTGACCTACTATATAGATATGTATGTACATCTTGACGTCAATATTTTCTTGATAATTATCTCCCTTTAATTACTGGTTCCTAAGCACTTGATTCCAGTGACACAATGTTACAGGGCTGTG